ATACAATGAAAGAACGGATAGAATTAATGTCTTTGCAAACAATGGTTTCGATACACATGAACAGTTTGCAGATCATGCACAAGTTTTTATGGTAAGAGGCTTGTTAAAAAATTACAAGCAGCAAATTGGGTATAAATTTTCGGCTTCAGCCACAAAGGGGCCGGAATTAGCTAAACTAATCAAGATATTTATCCGGGAATTAACAAAGGCTGGATTAACTGTGGTTGCAACAGTTTGTAATCAAGGCTCAAGAAATAGAAACGCCATTAAGTGCTTGGCGGAAGAATCGCGAATTGACTTTCTCAGAAGAGGAGAGGAGCCCAAGCTAGGTTTTATTTTCATAGACAATTTAAAAATTGTGCCCATGTTTGATCCAACCCAACTAATTAAATGTGTGCGAAATAATTTAATTAACAAAGATTTAAAATACACAACTAATATTACTACAAAAATACAAAAGTACTCAGTGATACAGACTTAATCAACTATATTTTTAACAGGTCCGGCGTCTGAGAATGCAGTAACAGTGCCCACAATGGATGATGCCACAACGTCAAAACACTAATACGTATCCGCGTAAATATACGTTAATGCATAACATTTTTTAAAATGTAGTTAACACGTTCACAACGGCATCGGGTCGAATGTAACCGATGTATAACTTTCCTGCGGTGCGAGAGAGAATTTGCTGTTCCTTACCCTGGTGCGGAATAGATATCTCTGGATGTAGCAAGAATAAAAAAGGGATAGGTAGTGTTTTGACAATGTCTACTGGAATATAAGCATTATAGGTAATAAAATACATATCGGTTACTTTCGACCCTATGCCGAACAGGGCGAAAAAAATTTTCATCTGGTACGGCTATCGGGTCGTCAAGATCCGATGCCCGATGACCCTATAGCCGTACTAGATGTAAGTCTAGTTGAGCTAGTGCAGTCCAAGTGTGTGGGTGTTGGCAGTGACAATTAGTGATTTATCGATCATGAAACGATCGCGTAAAACATTGTTTTTAGTGAACAACAAGAAAACGAACATGAAACGGCTAAAAAGAAAAAAGGGGATGTAACTGCCAGGAGGATAATTATTGGTAAGCGTATTAAAGGTAACATATCTGCCAATAATATTTACACAAGTCCATCAACCGGGCAGACGTTGCAAGTACTGCAAAATGCAGCCTCTGCGACTGCGTCTACCAGCAATCCTGCCAATCGGCGTGTGCAAATATTAGAAGATAAGATTATTCAGCCCGCAATCATTACTACTCCAGTGAATCAAAATCATTCTCCTATAAGCAGTGATGACGAGTTAGAGATTTTTTCGACACTGAACCGTCAAGTCAGACAAAAACAGTTAAGTGTCAACTTAGCGGAAGAGAACAAAATTTCAAACCTCCCAGACTCTAACATTTTAGACAACCATACCTTTACTACTCCGAAGAGCCGTAAGAAACTAAATTCATCCAAAAGTGCTAACTTAAGCCCTGCATTAACTACAAAGCAGCATCAGAAAAATGAAAATGATCTCTTGCCACTTCAAAAAGAAGAAAAACACATGTCCTCCGCACTAACAAGTCGGTGTGGATCTTTAAATGACATTTCGGTGTCTGACATGGTATCTCTTAATTCATCGTTTAATGAAGAGGAGCTTTTTAATCTCCTGAACACACCTCAAAAAGACGAACAAATACCTGCGACTAAGACTAAAAATGGAGCATGTGATGACAATGATAATTATTTATCCCAACCATCAACCTCTGGAATGAACCTGTCTACAAAAACGTCACAAAAACAAAACAAAATACTCCAAATCCTACCTTCCGACTCTGATTCTGATGAAAGCAGCGATTCTTCTTCTAGTGACTCCACTGACTCTTCATCTGAAGATACTGAAGTGAATCTCAAAATGTCGCATCCTATAGGTAATTCTCGCCCCTTATTGGCTACCAATAACGAAGATGACGAATGGGAAGATATTACAGACAGCCCGATGAGTTTCGAAGAATTTCAGGGAGCAGTGCAAATTTCTATACCGCCAAATACCGAGACTCCATATGATTATTTTAAGTTGTTTGTTACTGACGAGATTATTGATAAAATTGTACATGAAACAAATAACTTCTCTAACAAATCTGTGGGTACAAATTTGTGGAAGCCAACCGATAAAGAAGAAATGCACACATTTTTCGCGATTTTGCTTGCAATGGGTCTTGTCAAAGTGCCACATCTCGGTGACTATTGGTCAAAAAATAAATTGTACAGAAACAAATACATAAGTTCATTAATGCCTAGAGATCGATTTCTAGGTTTGCTGAAGTACTGGCATTTTAGTGACGACAACAATTCAGGAAATGACAAAATACATTAATTTCGAGAAGTTTATACCATGCTTATGACTCAATTTAAAGATTTATTAAAGCCGGGTAAAGTATTGGTAGTAGATGAAAGTATGGTGCCTTGGCGAGGCAGACTACATTTTCGGCAGTACATAAAAAATAAATCCCACAGATACGGTGTAAAATTGTATAAAGTGTGCACGCCAGAGGGATATACATTAAACGTGGTCGTTTACACCGGCAAAAATGAGGGAGAAAATCAACGAGAAAAGAATCACGGTCAGAAAGTCGTTATGAACCTCTTGAAAGATTATGAAAATGAGGGACGGATTGTCGTTGCTGACAATTTTTATTCGTCGATCGGATTTAGCAGAAGCATTGCTCGATCTTAAAACATTCTATTGCGGGACTTTGAGATCCAATAGAAAAGGTTTACCAAAAACTGTTATCAGTACAAAGCTAAAGAAGAGCAACATTACAGGCAAGATGAACAAGAAAGGCATACGTGTACTTAAGTGGGTTGACAAACGACCTGTACTGATGATGAGTAGATGCACAGATCATGATACAACACTAAAAAGTACTGGGAATAAACGAAGAGGGACAGATGAAGAAGTGTTGAAGCCTGCATGTGTACTAACTTATAAAAATTTCAAAAAAGGTATTGTTCTCATCGACCAAATGTCGTCTTACTACTCAACTTTAAAACGTGGCCTCAAATGGTACAGAAAGGTGGTGATGGAGCTATTGTTTGGAACGTCTCTCATAAACGCTTTGATTGTTTATAATATGAAGAACGAAAATAAATTGACAAAAAAGGAGTTCATTGAACAAATTATGGAAAAATTGTCTAACACTTCTCTGAGAAAACAGAGGATAATGCCGGAAACTGATCAAATAGAAACGCCGCAAGGCAATGCAAACCACAGTTTTCAAATGGGCCCAAAGAAACGAAATTGCTCAGGATGCTATGATAAACTACGACTAACATTGGATAGCAAAACAGCCGCGAATAAGGTAAAGAAGGTTAAAACTATGTGCGAAGCGTGTAGAAAAACATATTGTCGTGATTGTTATAATAAAATACATAAGTCTAAGGTATAACTACATAATAGTTACTATATTAAAAAAAACATTTAATTTAAAGTCCATTTTTTTAAGATTAGACGGTCGATTACGTTTCATTAAAATTTATATGAATATTGTGTAAAACTAAAATTAGTTTAAATAAAAACTTAAAAATTTATAATATATTTTAAGTAAATAGTGTTACTACTTGTTCACTAGTTGCAATATTATCTAGTAGGTATCACATAAGTCTGTCTGTTACCATATTAAAATTAATATTTTTCGATATCGATGTTTTATTTCTACCCTCAACACTACAAAAATATCGACAATCTAAACAGCCAGTGCGGATATCGAGTGTAACAGATCCGATAGTTTGTTCTTTGTCCAGCCATTTCATTTTAAAGTGAATCTACCTACGAATTGAATAGTGACTAGTCCGACTATCAAAGAATATGTTATTTAAAAAATATATGCATAATTCATCGTAAAAACGTAGATATTTTAAACGTAGATATTAGAACAATTAATTAAGAGAATACCCAACGGTTATTATCGACCCGTTAACGCTATAGAATAAAGTCATGCATCGGATCGAACAGACCCTGTGCCGTACCCAGGGAAAGTTTTAAAAATTCTGTGCCGTTGCGAACGTGTTAACAAGTACATAATCAAAAATATTAGGTTGTCATTTTAATGTGCTTTATAATATACTATAACAAATTAAGTGTTTATAGACTATATATTTATTTATGGTTTTAAGCTCACCACAGACACTGTGTATCGTCCACCATGACTTAACATAGACAATTTTTTTCAGAATTGAATTACGTGAGTGTGTGATGACTTCATCTTTTAACATTTAACCATATAAAACTTGCTCTGACACTTAGCTTGTACACAGTTCCGTTTCTCTCCTATACCTCCTATCAGTTAAAAACCAAAGGAGGTGCCTCCAATTATTTAAAGAACGTGAAAAAAAAACTAATACGAAATGGCCAGTGGCAATCCTATCAAAATGTTTAAGTGGTGCGAGGACATAAACTGGCGCCTCTCTAGGTAAAAATTTCAATTGTTAAAGCAGTTGCTTTATTTTCCAAAAGAAAAAGCAACGGCCGCTGCTTATTAAACCGAATTACTCCTATCAAAAATGTCAAATCGTAGAAAAATTCGTATGACCAGTACCTATACGTGATGTGGTGGACAAATGAAAAATAAAATATAATATAATTTATTTTCTCTCCAAAGTAGTAACTTAAGGGTGACGTTTAAAACTTATTTACGAGCCGTATGTGGACTTGCATATTCGTGCATTAGTCGAAACGTATCACCCATCGACTTTGCAAAAGGATGATCACGTTTGAAACAATCCACTCCGCATAAATCTGAGCATCATAGCTATCTGAGGCCTCAGTGCGAGTTTTTTTTACTTACTCGATCGCGTTAAAGTTAACTACAATTTGTATGGAGTTAAATGAGCGCCGCCTGGTGTCAACCTGGTGTAACATAATATGCGAGTGTTAGATAGTTTGGGGTATAAAAAAATAACAGAACGCTATTATTTCGCTTGGAGGATGTTTAAGACTGCTAGAGCACAAGATGAGCGTGTTATGTCCCCAGTCACCATCCTACTGCACCTGCATCGATTGCGCAATGAGCGGTGCTTCCTTCAATAAAATCGACCACCGGCAAAGCACAGCACCTTTCGTCATCCTAACTTCAGACCGATTGGACACCCGTTAGTGTCTTAAGTGTTAGTAGTAAAAACTTTTGTAAAAACCTTAAAGTAAAGTAAAGTAACAGCCAATACATGTCCCACTGCTGGGCAAAGGCCTCCTCTATACAGAGGGTATCAGGGCATAGTCTACCACGCGGCCCCACTGCGCATTGGCGGACTTCACATATTTTCGAAATATATATTATTTTGTTATTATTTCGAAAATATGCAGGTTTCCTCACGATGTTTTCCTTCACCGCGGAGCACGTGATAAGTCAGCACTTAAAGTTAAAAACTTCGTTGGTGCCGGCACCGGGGATCGAACTCAGGTTGCTCGAGTATATTTAATTAAAGGCGAGCGCCCGGACACTGAGCTATCATATCGTTTTTATGACAAGAAAATAATAAAAGTTGAACTTTATACTCAGACAGGATGTCTTCCTACGATAGTAGACGTAACACTAACCGAATCCAGCGTGGCAATCCCGCTAGCGGTAGTGATAATCAAGACCGACGACAGAATACCGGCACCCGCAACCAAAGACGAGCTTACAACTTCCAACAGCAGAAGATCGCTAAGACCGATTGGTCTGAAGCTCGCGAATTTGAAGAGCGTCCCCCAAAACCAAGAGGCCCTACCCAGCGTAGTGTAAGTTGGAGGGATAAACAGCAAGAAAAGAAGAAGAATAAGCAAGAGAAGAAAGATGATGCCTCTGCTGCCTATGATTTCAAAGCAGTTCAAGAAACAGCTCCTGTAGATGAACCACTCTACGATCTTGGACCACATTGCAGCTCAATTCCTGTGCAAGAGAACTACTCTCAAAACTTTGAGTTCTCTGGCTACATTGATCAAGTTGAAAGATCTTACGAGACGATGAGAGGCATTGACCCCCGGCTTGACCGCCGTTTACCGTTCTCGATGTTCCAACATTCGATGTAAAAACCTTTATTAAATATTATTTTATATTAAATAGTTTTTTTTAAGATCCTCCGCTGCGCAAACCGTAATTCGCATAATATTATGTCCAGCATTCGTGCAAGAGCTCGCATCTCTTACAATCAAATGTTCGATCTCATGGAAACAGAATTTAGGAGACCATAAGAAAACGTTTAAATTTTTATGCCAAGAATTCGAGTCGGTTAGGGATCTTCTTAACCGACTCAAGGCCTTCTCAACGGGTTTCCTTGGAGTTAAAGGTAGGCATTAAAATCTGGTATTTTTATACACACTATGTATGTTATGTCATTTATTATTAAAATCTTATTATTCAAGGTCTGACTGCACTATTTTTCTTTGAAACTGGATCATAATAGCAGCAACCAGTGGGTATGTAGTATTTATATTGAAGCGTTAACAAAGGCACACAAGAATATGTTGAATGAATATAGTTGGCTTCTCAATTCTATATACTTCTATTAATTTAAACTTTGCCTTTCTTATGTATTGATAAATTATTAATTTCCAGAATTGGAACATGGTGATGATCAGGACCAACATGAGAGTATTCCCACAAGAATAGAAAGTTCCACTACAGTTTTCATAACAGGAAACTACTAAGAGACCAATGAGTCAGGAGACTACAGCCTTAATTCAAACTTTAAAGAAGAATAAATTTTCGAGAAAAATATTTAGTTTCATTTATTTTCTTAGTTTGTCTTGGTCATAAGTTATTAGTATTTGAACTTGACTGAGATGCATTAACTTTGGAATAAATATTTGAACTAAATTAACTCGTTCTTTCATCTAGCAACAGAGATCAGGGACAACCGCATCAGAGACTTAGAAGAGGCGGGTTCGACCTAAACAGCAGGCGCTAAACGAGGGGTCCTTGGTCCGAATCATCGATATCAAGGTAGAGGGTGACACCGCTTCGGGGCGTGAAATTACTCCTTATTATATTTTATTTTTGAGAATTGTTTAAGAACTTTAATTTTTTACCATATTTTTGTATTATAAAAGTTTAAAATGTCGTTATCTGCTTTAATAGAGTCAATTGAATTATAGGTCTATGAAAAATTTAAAAAATCGCAAAAGATCATTTATGTAAAGACTTATTTGCATACTAGATTAGATTCATTAGATGAAAAATGGCAGATATTTGATGAGACAAATAAAAGGATATTTAAGAGTTTTCTGATCAATTGTTTGAAACAAGTACGTGTAGTATAAACAGATCCTTTAACAAATGGAGGAAGAAAGAAACGTAGATGAGACTATGGTATCAAGGAGGGAGTTGTATGGCGAAAAGTTCATAGAAGTTTATGGTAAACAAAGCCATTGGTTCAGGGAAAGCTGGAAAAAGCGGGAGTTGTCACTGACACACGATATGTGCTGTGCTCTGTTGTGTAACTTAGAGACTAATCCTAACCTTCTTCGACGATTCAAAACGATCCACCTCAGGATCTCCAGAGCAAAGTGAAATTGTGCAGGAGGCGGTGACTGGGGAGATATCAGGAGATGAAGATATGATCTCCTTAGCAATGATGAAGAGGAAGGCTTCATCATTGAGCAGGAAAGAACTCTAATAGAACCTGATCAATGAATTTAGAGTGAAAGCAATGGGGAGAACTCCGAATTAGTAATAATAAATCCCGTCACTGGTAAAACTATCCTAAAGCTTTTAGAGCACAGGGAATATAATGGGGAAATAGAGGGAAAACAGGGAAGATAATGTCACCTCTTTCATTTTAGCGAAAGGCCAGGTTATGAGAGCTTGGTATCTCACATACATGAGGCAAAGGACATCATTGGTTCCGTTTTTTTCAATAATTATTTCATGAGGGAATTCCATCAATGGATGGAAACCTTTCTCAGGCATAGGAAAATGCCTCCACCCATCAATTTGAACTCAAGAACCAAAAGTGAGGAAAAGAATCTCAAGCCTTCTGATATAGTATCTCTTGAAAAAGGCATATCTTCACAATGGGGTTGAAGCAATAGCCTGGAAGGGAAAGATACTGCCAGAGAGTTGGGTAGAGAACATAATGTGGTGTTATGATACAGACAAATAACTCATAAACAGATACTTAAGACTTATGTATGAGTCAACAAAGGATCAGATCAATGCATATACAGAACAAGTAATGAGGATGACCTGGAAAACTTGTTTCTGGACCTAACAACATCAGTGGAAACTGGACATGTTGCAGACAACTTTAAGTTCCATGAGAGATTAAGAGAAGAAGCTAATACAAACCCTTTGAAGACATCACTGGGAGTGGACAAAAAAGGGAAGGTTCATAGTGGAGTGGTCAAAAAGGACATGGTCCAAAAAGAGAACAATGCCATAGAAAAGCGTCACCTCCACAAATGGTTTACTCACTCACCTAAGCGAAGAGACAGGGAAAGATTACAATCCCTTTCCTGGCATTGAGGCAGGAGAAACAACCCCTCTGCATCCTATCATTAAAACTCTTTGGAATGCTCAAAAGAACAAACACTGCTATAATGACTTCAAAATATGCAAACCTAGGGTCAAGGCTTGGAGGATCATGTTTGAACAGCACTAGTGCAAAGACACCACATACCTTCACTTCCATGGTGCCATAACAAAATTGATAGCTCATATTATTCATTTCACTTATATGCTCTTTTCGCAACTTGCAAATATCTGGGTGAGATCGTTTTCGGAAAATCCTTGAGTGTGAATCAAGTTCAAAGGAATGGTTTAAAAAATTTGGGTATAAATGTAGATTCATAGGATGCAATGAGTATTTACGAGATTGGCACAAAATTGGATTCCGATTCGTGAAAATGTTGGGAATCTAAAATAAGTAACTTTGAGATTATCTTCAATCGATTACGATACTCGACACAACTTTATACAAAAGTACGGTCTATGCTGTAACTGCTTGGGTCGTAATCATTAAAATGGTTAAAGGTCGTAATCGTCAAACAAAATAGATATTATATATATACGTATACGGTCAAATTATAAAAGTAGTATAAAAATCACAGGACAAGTTACAAGCGTGTATTTAACCCGGGATCGCCGGAGCGGAAGAGGAAGAGATACAATAACGTTGCCATATGCTATGTATAAAATTAATATTAGGACCATTCAGTGTTGCTATAGTTGCGACAGCTGAGAATCACAGCCGTTTTTATTTGCCTATAAGTAATTATATAGTTGCACTACCACTATTATTATATAAGCCGAAAATTGTCTGTTTTATGTAAGTGTGTACACTATTTAAAATAATAAAAACATGGTAAAAATAATGTTACGCACTGCATAAACAGGAACCATGTTAAATGATATGTAAATGAAATTAAACCTGCTTAAATTATAATTGTTTCAGACTATGCTCTCAATCAAGTTTCTCAGAACCTATTCAACATATTTTACATACTACGGGAATATACTTCGACCCGACTGTTATCGCATATTTGTAATTTATTTTTTGTTATGATTTTTATAAAGTTATTTAACTTGTGTTAATGTTATCCCAATAAAGTCTTATTTAAATTTAATAGAAAAATCAATCAACAGCATTTCGAATTTTTGTGAAGAAGCTAAAAATTCAGCTGTTTTACAAGTGACTTTAGGGACCCTGTCCCTGAAGTCCTCTAGAAATAATAATTACCGCAAATAATTTAAAATGTGCTTCATTGTCTCATCTTACTTCGTCCTCAAAAGCCTCCAAAAGGTAGCTTGAATTTTTCGGTGAAATTCTAAAATTATTTTTCGGTACATTAGACGTCGATGACACAAGAAAGTCTGATTAAGCAATTTCTACTTGTGAAAATAATGAAAATCAATCATTTTCTTTAACGGAAGACAATATACAAATTATCAAATCAATTCTAAATAATTTTATTGTTCCTATTAATAAGTTAAATGATGATGAACTTAAAATAAACAAGCAAATTGAAAAACTTAACCCAGTTCCTATGTATTTGAAGAAAATTATAATATTCTGATCATTAAGAAGATCGTTTTGATCAATTCAGAGACTTTAACAGAACCTTTTGACAACTCAAAAACATTCATGCGAACAATCTTTTTAAAGTATGAATCTTATTAAAAACAACCTACGAACCGGACTTGAGAAAGCTTTCAAAGGAGATGCAAGAACATTCTTCGTATTAAGTAGTGTTTATATGCTTTACTAGATATCAGATTATTTTTTATCAATGAATAAAGTCCTTATTCAATATGAAATCAAGTTTTATTCAATGTACCCATAATTTAATGAATCTCTAAAATTATGATAAATGTTTACTACATTTACAAACAAATTGGGATCTCAATATTTTTAATCGTTTTTTGCATATTTGGTTCTTTGGCTAATAAGTTTGCCGACCACTGGTGTAAGGTCGTCAAAAGTAGATGTCGTCATTCGGAAATAAGTAAATAAATTAGGTTCGTGTTCTTGCAGCTGACACACAAGAGCACATCGACAAAATCTTTGCAAAAATGGATGTATCCAATAACGCCGGGGCTTCCTCCGACGCAGACGATGATAATACCGACACAACACGACTACGTCCATTCCTCATAGAAAGTAGACGATACACGGAAGAAGGAAAGTCTAGTAGCGACGAATCCGTTAAAATCGTTTCTGTAAATGCTGTGTTAATATTACCTCCAGTAGCGACAGATCAGTTAAAAAGGATCCTGTAGAATAGGACGTTCTATGTGTACGCGCCCTAACGAGTACGTATCCTGGACAAGAAAAATAACAACGTATCCAGTTAAGCTTCAAGACTTTGCAAGCGTAATAAAAACGGAGATGACGATACTAAGCAATACACAACCGACCCGTCTCATAAATTTCATCACGACAATGTCTGCACGCAAAAGTTCCACGGCGAGATATACACACAGCTACGAAGGAACCCGTGGCCAAGAAAAATTGGAAACATTTATTTCGGCAGTAAGCCTGTCGAGCATGACTAGCAAGCGCATGAAAACCCCCATCGACTTGGTCATGGTCCACCTCGACCTAACCCCCGAACAACATTAAGTCAGTTTTAGGACTCGACAACATCGTTGTTGAACCACCACACAAAGGCGTGCTCCCTGGGCAATGCCATAAGTGTCAAAAAGTGCAAAAAGTCAGTGACACGCCGCCCGTAATTGCTTCGCCAGGCCTAGGTGCGTCAAGTGCCTAGGAGACCACGGCACTCCAGATTGCCCTCGGCCCAAAGACAAGGGTCTTCTAACCAGTTACGGGCCACCCGCTTGCGTACTTTGCCAACAAGAAGGCCACACAGCCAACTACCTTGGCTGCCCAACGCGCCTAAGCGCAGACCCACCAAACCAGTCCCTCAGGCTGTTAGAATACCACCCGTACCAACGGCTGCCTCCTTCCCTCCTCTACGCCCCGCGTGGCAGAACCCTATGGCCCCCGCTTGGGCCAAACCGAACCCGCCTATCATGGCAACTAAACCAGCCGAACAACCGGCGACCGGAGGTAACACCCTGGACTCGCTAAGCCAACTCCTCCGAACCGTCCACATGGCGGAGGTAATGTATTTTGCCGAGCAATACGCTAAAGGCGACTTCTCTTCCCGTATCCTACTCCTTAACCAATACCAGCACATAGTTGCTGCGCTATCTGTCTAGGAACCCAAAAAGAAAGTACACCCCTAAACAATAATAATAATAGCACCGCAAACACCAGTCTCTCTGCTACGCGTAATAACGGCAGAGTCAAACCGCGATCGATTAATGTAGCCTTCTACAACGCGAACGGGCTCAAAGAGCAACGCGACGAAATACGCATTTTCTGGTGCGACCACCAAATCGACATACTTTTAATTCAGGAGACGTTCCTGAAACCCGCGACAAGGAATCCGAACATCCCCAATTATCGAATAGTTAGGAACGATCGTGTCGGCGCCCCGAGCGGCGGCACTAATTTAATATAAAAAATCTCTCCACTGCGTACCAGTAGACACGCCCGCGCTCACGCATCTCGAGGCCTCCGTATGTCTGGGTTGCCGGTCCGCTGTCTGGTCCGCTGGCACTAACCGGCCACTCTCCCATCACCACAGCGTCAATATACCTCCCTTGCAGACCAACCGCAACAGTGTTGCAATCTGATTTTGAGGCCCTCTTCTCACTAAGAGGAGCCACCATTCTTGCTGGCGACTCAACAGCAAGCACACCCGATGGAACTCGACACGTACCAACAGTCGAGGCACCGCACTTGACTCGCTATCCGACAGGCTCAACTTTGAAGTCGTAGCCCCCGTCGAACATACGCGCTTTTCCTACGTAGAGGGACACACATCGGATGTGCTTGATATTGCAGTCGTCAAAAACATCAGGCTCTCCATATGCGACCGGAAGTGATACACGAGCTTCACTCCGATCACCGACCAGTTCTTCTTAGGCTAGGGTCCTCAGCAATAGCGGCTCCCCAAAGCTGGCACAAAGTAAGATCCAAATTTAACGAACCCAATCTATATTAGAATCAATCCCCGATCAACTAAACAACAAACAGGACACAGAGACCGCAATTCGGGCTCTCACAAGCCACGTTAACACTGTCGTCGAGCAATGCTCGAGACA